GGGTCAGTTTTACTCACTACCTTTTGCATAAYATGAGACCAAATGAATTGCAAAGGTATTGAGCCTTCAACTAGTGAAGCTGGGCACACACCTCCACTGAAGCTTGCTTTTATATAACAATCAATGTGCAGACTTGGGACTGTCCTAGAGATTTTGGTATCACATTAAAAAACAAGGATTTCATCGGCTCTGCTGCACCACAAAGTTACCTGGGCAGTGCTTGTGCAAGAAGAGRGTGAGACTGGAGAGGAATTAACCTCAACCTTCATGAAACACTGTGTAATTAGACTAGCTCACCTGATGCTGAGCCCCTGCCCTCCAAAATGCAAAAGTCCTCAGCAGGTTTATTTTTTTAGTTGTAAAAGCAGAAGGAATTAATAGATGTTTTTGTGGGGGAAAAGTATTGTCATGCACCCTGGGACAATTTGTAAAGTTACAGAAAGCCTGCCAATATCATCTGAGGTTTGTTTGCATAACATGCAAAAAGGAAACAAAAACTGGCTATCTGAGAAACACTGGGGAAAATCCAGAGTTACATAAATGGGGGAGGGGGAAGAAAATAGTGGTGGAAGAARCTATTTTCCAGCTCCTAACAAGATATTTAAGACAGTCTTAAACATAAGAAAATTAAAAGCATTTCTGAATCCTTGTCTAGCACTTGGTGTTTCAGACTGTGYTTCCAAGTTGGCTAAGGAAAAGGCAAYRAAAAAAACCAAAYCAACAAATATTGYRAACTGCCAGTGGCATCTTTGAGCATCAGCCACACAGGGCACCACTAATGCACAGCACCACAAGTGTTGTGAAGTGTGTTGGGAGGAGCACAGATGGCAGCTGCTTCCTCTAAACAAAACCATCTCAGAAGGTATATCTTCATATAGAGGACTCCAAAAAAAATCACTTTGGCAATTGTAAGCCGATTTCCTCTGCCATATGCACCTAGGCACATGATGATGAAAGCACATGTGTGCGTAAAGGGTTAGGACTTGGCCTTACAAATATTTAATGTCATTTGCACTGAAGTCTTCATCAAAGCCTGTGGCAGAACAGAAGATGCTATTTACATGGGAAGCTCTTCGTAGGTTCATGGTACACAGCCTTATTAGCAATCTCATTCTCTAAATGTTACATTTTTATAATATAGTTGAAATTCTTTTACCGTATTTCTATCTACTTGTAGGGATACAAGTATTCTATTTACAGAGCAGTATTTATTTAAAAATAGAGCACACCATTTGTCATTGCCTTTTCAGAGTGATGTCTAAACACCTTCACTCTCCAATGCACACAGCTGCTTTCATTTTCACTCCTATTCATGTTCAGCTGAGCATCCTGGAGGATATGATCTCAGGAAACACCACCGGACTGAACTTTACCCAGCTGAGCCTATCAACAACAACAAAAAAAATGCCTCTTCAGAGCAGCCTAAAGCTCGAGGACAGCAGGAGTGTGCTGCTGCCACGTTCCTAGCAAAGGAAAGTTCTGGTCCCCCARTAAACCAAAGATGAAGAAACGGCACATCTGCCAACTGTGCCATGACAGACAACACAGCAACTGTTCCCTTTGGAAATGGTTTACCCATGAAAGCAGCCACTAGAGATAATAAAGACAGCTACCACAGCAAACGTCAGTTATCAGGTTCTAAGTCTGCCTATACAGCCACTGCATGGCAGGGGAGGTAATTCACTGCCTGCCTGTAATATTAGCTTACTATGTTGATATATTAACTAGTAGTTCTGTGAGGTATATCACATGCAGATCTACCATCCCAAAATTTAACACACAAGCCCGAGATCCCAGATCTCCGTGCATGTCAGAACAAAAATAATGAAGGTGTCTAATAGGAGAGTGCACAGTGTTACATCAAATGTGACTTATGCTCCACACATACAGTGAACAGTACAAAAACCCATGACAAAACCCAAATTGTCACATATGACAGGCATGGCTCAAAAACAAAAAGCAGCAGAACTGATGACTTTCTTCAGAAAGCAACTGCTTGGCGTTAATGCCCTACATCTCCAAACACTGATCCTGGAGGACTGAAGCACTGAGTCAGGCATAATAGTGATTTGAACACAATCCCTTCTGGTCATATCCCTTCTGCAAGTTGCTGGGTTTTGTTTTTTGTTTTGTTCTTTTTAAAATTTATTTTTTAAAAAGCTACATTTCTAATCTTCTAAAAAAATCAAAGTAAAAAACCAAAAGTACTAAAACAAAAGAAATGTTCAGTAAAGGATAAGATCTTTTGCAAAACAATGGTAAGGAAATGCAGTCTAAACTTTAAGTTTCCTAAGATATTTTTCACAAAAAAATGGTCTGAAGAGGCTCATGAGGAAGCTAGAAGGCACTAGTACAAGAAGTCTGATCCCCTCTGAAGCCTTCAATTGTTACCAAGGCGTTTAGAGGCTAAAGAGCACCATGCTTTGAAAGAGTATTTGGTACAAAGACATTCCTAAAGACCCTTCACTGGTTTAACATGGCACTTCGGCTCAGAAAGCAAGTCTGTTCCCTGACTGTCCTTGTCATCCATCCCTACTGCTCCATGCACCTCGTGGTGGTTTCACCGGATCACAACATCAGCACACACATCTGAATTCAGTGCTGAGGATCTAAGAGAGGCACTGAAAGGAGTCCTCACTGGCGGCACTGAATAGGCTCAAGGGAAACCACAGAGGTGAAGCAGCTGAACTTTTAAGTGCTGGAATGACAACTGCTTACTGCTCATCAGCATTAAGCTACAACGATGCCACAGATACTGCACAAGCCTCTGTCTTCCCCACATCTGCCCCACTCTTACTGAAGCCATTGCTGTTAACAGGACCTTTCTGCCCTGCATGCTGGGAGTCAGAACACCAGGCAAAGAAAAAAATGTATGGTCAAGAGTTAAAAAAACCCAAACAAACAAAAAAA